GCTGAGGCGGGAGGATCACTTGAGCCCAGGAGTTTGAGGTTGCTGTGAGCTAGGCTGATGCCTTGGCACTCTACTCAGGGCAACAGAGTGAGACTCTGTCTCAAAAAATACATAAATAAAATCAGTGGGGAAAAAATGGATTCTTCTAAAAGCCACAAACCAGTGGGCCACATTCATGCCTGGCTTTCACATAGTATTTTTAAATAAATTAAATTAAAGAATTAAAATTTAGGTTTTACTTGCCAGCGTTTGCAAATTAAAAGATGTTACATTACAAACTTGGATTTCCTGATCAAGCTGGGCCTGGATTCCCTAAGCCGACAACCAGCTGGGGCTAAGGAGCAGCTGTTTCTGCGGGTACCAGTTCTAAAGAGTGGTCACTGGACTGGACAGCTTCACTTGTCTGCAGTGCATTTTGGGCCCTGCAGGCAGTGGAGTTTCGGACCCATGGGTCATTGTAAGAGCAATGTGAGCAAAAATCAAAAGTCTTAAAAATGTCCATAGCTTTGATCTGGAAATCTCTTAGAAATTTACCCTAAGGAAATAATCTCAGATGCGTGCAGTTATGTGACAGTGCCACAAGGATATTCACTGCAGTACTAATTAAAATGGTGAAAAGTTGGAGACCTAAATGTCTGACTAAATGAATTAAGGCACATTCATTAAATGCAGCCACTTAAAATATTATACAATATCTATTGATACTGAAAGTTGTCACAAAATGTTAAGTGAAAAAAGCAGAATGCACAATATGATCCCATTTTTAAAAAAGCCTGAGTACGTTTATACACCTGAGACAAGACTGAAAGGAAGGCTGGTCACTAAAATGTCACCAGGTGATTATCTTGGGTGGTGAGATGGTAGTAAGATGACTTTTTTTCTTTTTTCTATTTTTTTTTAATTTTTAAGAGTTGAGCAGCTGGGTGCGGTGACTCATGTCTATAATCCCAGCATTTTGGGAGGCCGAGGCGGAGGATTGCTTGAGCCCAGGAGTTCAAAACCAGCCCGGCAATATAGCGAGACTCCATTTCTATAAAAAAAACAGTTGTGATAAAATTTATCATCTTAACCATTAAAAGTTTTTTAAAATTGTGGTAAAATTCACATGACATAAAATTCACCATCCTAACCATTTTAGTTCAGTGGCATTAAGTACATTCACACTGTTGTGTAACCACCACCACCGTCCATCTCCAGAAATCTCTCCATCTTGCAAAACAGAAACTCTGTACTCATTAAACAGCAATTCCCTATATTCCCTCTTCCCAGCCCCTCGCAACTACCATTCT